GACTACTATCTCTTTAGTGTTCATTACTCGGTTGCTTTCCCATTCTTCTCTTGTCGGGATGCGAATCCTTATATTTCCTTCAAAATCATGTTTGGTGAGCATATAGTCCGTTTTCTGGTATAGCAGATGTGGACTCGCGTTCGCCATGATTTTCCCTATCACTGGCAATATCCTCCAGTGGCCGTAGTTGGTCTGGTTCCACAGATTTGATTTCCTTAATCTTAGGGCACCCTTAGCGGCCAGATCCTTCACGAGCCAGTCGATTGATTACAAGTCCAGAATTGCTTCCAGCGTAGCTTGCGCTGTGTTGTTCCTTGCTCCAGTTGTACCTAGAGCTGCTAATCGCTGTACTTTTGTGAAGCTTTTTCTATTAGTCTCTTTAAGTATCGCTTCCCACCATACTAGTGCTCCATAAGTGATGATTGGTCTAACTATAGCAGTGTATAATGTATACATCCAGTGTATAATGTACGGTTGCAGACCCCCATCTCTTTCCAAATAGTTTTTTACATGCATAGAATGCATTTATTCCCTTTATCATCCTTTCCTCCGTGTTCCTTTTCCAGGAAAGCTCCGAGTCCAGAATGATTCCTAATAATTTTGTCTCCTTAGCAAGTACAAGTGTCTTCCCTTCCAGCTTTGGTAGCGTGAACTTGGGTATCTTTTATTTTCTTGTAAATAGAATGAGTTCGGTTTTGTCTGGGTTGATGCCCAAACCATTCCTTTTTGCCCATTCCGTTAACTTCTTCAGAGCAGATTCCATGATGTCACTGATCGTTTGCAAGTCTTTGCCAACGATCAATATTATCACGTCGTCTGCATATGCCTTTATCCTAATTCCCTTCATTGTCAGAGAGGTCAGAATCGGGTTCATTACAATCAGCCACAGCAGAGGTGATAATACCCCTCCTTGTGGCGTGCCTCTTGTTGAACACTTTGGCTTTGGCTGAGCTGTTTCCCATCTCCGATGTGATACTGAATCTTAAATAAGTGAGAATATTTTGATGGCTTGTAGATCACGATAAAGTAAACGTATTACCTCTTTGCCGTTTTTCAAATTTCTAAATCCAAAATAGTAGATTTGTTTTAGTTCAAAATAAAGAAAACAAATTAAAATGAGAGTAAAGATTTTAGATGAAACTGTGGTATTAACCTAAGCAAATGTAAACAAATTCCGGGTTCAATGGAGACTCGTCTTTTTTGTGTGAGTGAAATTTTTGGTCACCGCAAGATTGGCCTATCACCCACATGTGCTGTTTATTAGACATATTAGGTTAAACAACTTTTGCAATAAACGCTTCAACTAAAGTAGAGCAAAGCTATAACTTTGATATGATTTTATAGTTTACTTAATTATACCTATATACACCATGATTAACCATTTTAAGATAAACATTTTTATATGAATATTTTTTCTCCTTATTATACATAAAAGGTAAAAGTTGCACTTGAAAAGTTTGCTACTGTTTAGCGACTGATACCATAACATATTTTACAGCTACTAGCGACTAGAATACCGGACATACAGTATCACTCTACCGTTAAATAACTTTATTTCAAATATGTAATTAGTTTGCTCGCTATATTCTGAAGTATAAAAATTCTTATAGATCATTAGGAAATATGAAGACGTTGAAGCATTTGTATAAGTACTATCTTGTATTGTTAATTAGATAGCAGCTTGTACATGAAGATACTATGAAAATATACTTCAACAAAACATTTCTATTATGCTATAATTACTGGTTTGACAAAACAAGATTATTTTTCAAGTTAAATTATTGTATGAATTTTAGCCATTTGGTATTTTCTTATCAAACAGTTTGTTACAATCTCAAAAGAACACAAAATTATAATTATGTTAGAATTGTTTAATGATCGACATGACTAGAATAAAATAAATACAGGATGTTTCAGAAAACAAGTAGGAGGTAGTATCTCTCGTGGGTCCGATTCTGTTTTGTTTCGTAGCTACAGGGTTAAAGCGGTTAAAGTATTTATCTTTTTTCGATTTATTATAATTTTCTTCCAAGTGCTTTTTGCGATTCGAATGAAATTTTGAAGGCAAAAGTTACTATAAGTGGGATATATTTTAATGCAAAAATAGTGTCGTCATATTCAACAGGGTCGTGTATATGGGTTATCACTGGAATATTTTTCTAAAAAAATATGTGCGCCACTGAAGTTTTTTTTTAGCAAAATTGTGTAGACCGTTAAATGCTGATTAAAAGTTGACTCTTATATGTTGTCAATTTCGGTCTCCTTGATGAAATAAACGCAATTTGATTAATTTTCCTTAATCTAATTGAGGGGCTTATATATAATCCAATTGAGGGGCTAATAACATGATATGCCAAAAATGCATAATTCTGACTTTGCAGTTTTGAAAAAATGTGTAAATTTAACTTTTAATTTAATTGATAAATTGCATTTTATCCAACAAACTAGCGTGTACCCGTCGCGTAAGCATTCGTCGAAATAAGCATTTGTAATGGTGATGATAAAGCAAAGCAAGAATTTCCATTAACATACAAACTGGATAAAATTTTCTCACATTTATGTCAGCATGAGAAAAAACAATATGGCGATATTATTATATAACTTGGTAATATTTCAGGGGTAGTTTCATCTCGTTGGAGTTTGACTTTTGAAAAATCCGTTGGCTAAAATTAAGCTTTTTACGTTAAGCAGTTTAAGCAGAATCGTGGTTAATTAATTACCCAACTTTTTGGAAAACCATGTATGATTTTTTAAAAAATTTCAAAATATGTAAAAAACAAAATAAATTATGCGTGTCCAAGCGTTTTCCTGAAAGACTAACCGTTTTTTAAATAACAAATATTGTAATATTTGAGGGGCGTTTTCACCCTCTTGGAATGTGAAATTCGAGAAACCTCTCCTTATCGAACCTCTACACCCCACTGTCAATCCATTTGCCAAAAATCAGCTTTAAACGTCAAGAAGTTTAAGCAGAATCATGATTACTCAATGGTTATATTTTATGAAACCCTGTATAAATTTTTAAAAAATCTTAAAATATATGAAACAATAAAATACAATATACATGTTTAAGAGTTTTTCCGGAAAACTCACCGGTTTTTAAATAAAAAATATCGTAATATTTGAAGGGTGGTTTCACCCCCTTAGAATTCGAGTTTCGAAAAATTCGTTCTTATCGAACTTCTAAACCCTAAAGTCAATCCGTTTTCCAAAAATCAGCTTTTTACGTCAAGCGCTTTAAGCAGGATAGTGATTAATCAATGACCAGATTTTTAGAAACACCCTGTATACATTATATAAAAAATCTTAAAATATGTAAAAAACAAAATAAAATATACGTGTTTAAGCGTTTTTTCGGAAACTTGACCGTTTTTTAAAAAAACAATATTGTAATATTTGAGGGGTGGTTTCACCCCCTTGGAGCTGGAATTTCGAAAAATCCCTTCTTATCCAACCTCTACACCCTAGATCAACCTGTATGCCAAAATTGAGCTTCTTACGTTGAGTGGTTTAAGCAGGATCGTCATTAATCAGTATGTCAGTCACTTAAGGATTTTATATATTAGTATAGATTTGTTAGATAAATACTTAGTGAGTTAAAACTAAACTATCTCTAAAACATCATCAAATTTATATTTCCTAATAGTTAAATTTACACACTTTTTCAAAACTGCGTAGTCTAATAATTGAGAATTACGGATTTGTGGCATATCATGCTATTACAATAAGCCCTTCAATTCTAATAGCAATCTTTAAAAAATGTTAATAACATTAAATTGCCAAAATGTTAAATAAGTACTAAATTGATTCCTCATCAAAAAAATATAAAAAAAAGTTCCTATAAACATGTTACAACAAGTTACAGGATGTTAAAACCTAAAAAATAGGTCTTTTGTGATTATCTTAAATATCATTATTCTTTGGGGAAATTTGCTGTAGGTAGGTATATCAGTGTTATATATATTTTTTTAAATATTAATAAGTTACATTAAATGAATAACTTATTAATTTTAACAAATGTGATTAATAAAATCGTGTTTATCTCATCGAGGAGATCAAAATGGACAAAATGTCAAGATACAACTTTTAATCGGCATTAAATGACCTACACACTTTTGCTAATGAGAGGAAAAAAGTCAGTGACGCACATGTTTCTTTAGCAAAATATTCCAGTGATAACCCATATGAACGTCCCATCGTCTCTGGTGAATCTGTCTACTCTTTTTTTAGTATTAAAATATGTAGTACTCATAGTAACTTTTACCCTCCAAATTTCATTCGAATCGGCTAAAAGCACTTGGAAGAAAATTATAATAAGTCGAAAAAAAAAAGCTCTAAGTAGCAACCTACTGTAGCTACGAAACAAAGCAGAATGGGGCCCATATTGATATGAGAAATAAATCATAATTTTACGTGAGGAATATCCCCACGAGAGATGGCACATATTTTTTGAAACACCCTGTATATCAAATCCAGTTGGTTTGAGAAGAAGATAACTTCAAATTACATATTTAAATGCACTTGATTTATATAATACAAAAATATAACTGTTTTTGTGTTATTAAAATAAATATGCCACTATCAACTTTATCTTTTAAATACGGCTCTGGATTTATTATTACAAATTTTAAGAGCTTCTAAGGTGCCAAAACTGATGATGTATCGCACTTATTTGAAAAATGTATATTTATAGCATTTTTTATAAAAAATCATGTGTGAGAAAGAGGCAGTGAGAATATATTATTTTTGGTAAGATCTTTGAAAATCATTAAAATTATGTGCCAGAAGAAAAATGATGTATCGCGCTTTTTCGAAAAAACACACATTTTAGTAATTTACAATTTATCAACTAATGTTGAAAAAACACTGCCTAAATAGATTTTATAATGGACTTAATAGTCAGTTAAAAAATAAGGGAAAATATTTAATATCTCTAAAAAAACAAAACCAAACAGAATAATTTGTCTCCGTCCAATAAATATACTTTTTTTTTCTTTCAGATTCAAGCAAAGGCACAACGCAGCCGTTCTCCTGTTCACGAACGTCTGGACATTATGTCCAACGTTAGTCCTAAATCCAGAGAAGAACTGTCACCGACCAGACACATTTCAAGGGACGAGAGTAGGGATGGGGCTAGGTCTCCAAGCAGTCCGGTACCGCATGCTGGAAAGTACTCCTTGATGCAGTTTGCGATGCAAAATTTCCGACAGTTGTCAGAGTAAGTTAATTATTTGATTGAGCTTCTGAAACTTATTATTAGTGTCACCTTAGTCACCTAGTTGTACAGGGTGGCGCCTCTCGCCCTATAAAAATAAATAGAGTTCTACAGGGTGTCCTAAAAAAAGTTACGCATCAAAGTTGTTTTTTTGTAACGGAACACCCTATATATTAATTGATTTTCGTATTCTAGGAGAAAAATAAATGTCAATTTTATTACAGAAGCATAATATGCCTAAATTGTAAGGATTTTGACATATTTTACATTTTGTGAAAATGTAGAATAAATTTTAAATTCCTGTAATAGCCTGATATATAAATACAATAACCATTGTATGTTAAACCAAATTAAAATTTGTTCCGAAAAGTTATATAGGGTGAGAAAAAATTAATATTGAACATTGGCCACTTTCAAAAGCAAGTTACTCCTTTATTTTAAATAGAACACTCAGTATATTATACCGGTATTCAGTGGAGAATTCACATATCTTTAAAGTACTATTAATGTTGCCTACCCCTCAGACAAATATTTTCCTAGATATTTCCATTTTTATGATTTTACCTCAGTAGATCTTCATTATTTTATAAAATCTAGGTGGTTGGTGATATACCTTTTAATAATTTAACAAAAATTAAATGATGTAGAGTAAAATACTCAACGGTACCCAAAAATATACACGGTAGCACAAGCGTATAATTATGACACAAAAATTAGCAAGAAGAAATAAAATGCCCAATATGTTTGGTTCCTTTCCTGTTCACTACATAAAATTATTCTCTTTTCAAAAGACCTTTTTATGTTAAAATGCATATGTGAAGTTCTACTTCGAAAAGCAGTCACAATTATTTCTCTCATGTTTTCGACAATAGTTGGTCGAGTTTTGTAAACACTGTCTTTAACATACCCCGATAAAAAAAGGCCACGACTAGATAAATTAGGAACATTTAAGTATTCTATTAAATGGTGAATGCACACTGCAGTCACCATCTTATTAGTTATGATTTTATCATAACTAATAAGATGGAATTAATTATTATTACATATATATTTATTTTATCATATTATTCATGGATTCATTATTGAATCATATCAATTCTCTTTGATGTAGGATCAGTCTCCATTTTTGACAAATTTCTGAGAATTTCTTTATTTTAACTGACACAGAATGATAAATAGTTGTTAAAGTTGAACTAATTTCACACCTATGTTGAAGTAACATTAGACGTATCACAGCCACCTAGATTTTATCAAATAATAAAGATCTGCTGACACTAAATTATAAAAATTAAAATATCTAATAAAATCTTTGTTTGGTGTGTAGGCAACCTTAATAGTATTTTGAAGTAACATGAATTTTTTTTAATTTGATTTAAAGTAGAATCATTATTTTAACTACATAGTGGGCTATACCGAGTAAATTCGAATTAAGCTAGCTTTTATTGAAATTTAAAACTTGTTCCTCATTTTTAGAAAATGTTAAATTTGTCAGAAACCTTACATTTTAGTCATATACTTCTCTGATGAAAGCTGCCTTTATGTTTCTCCTAGAATCACGAAATTAATTAATATATAGGGTGTTCCATTACAAAAAAAAACAACTTTAATGCGTAAGTTTTTTGGGGACACCCTGTAAAACTCTCTATATTTTTAAAAAATGCTTTAAATTAACATACATATGCGCCCACAAAATTTTATTTCAATACAAACTGTCGTTCTCCTCGTCGTATGAGCCTCCGCGTCGTATGAGCATCCGCGTCGTATGAGAGGCGCCACCCTGTATTTTGTAGAGTGGTCGCAACTAACCACATGGAAGTGAAACATCCTAGATACATTAGCATCTACAACAGATCACTAAAACTAAATTCATCAAGAATTAATCAAGTGTTACAATAAATTACAAAAATAGAATACTAGGATCAGTAGGAAAATATTGTCTTTATACATATTTATTTTAATACCCTCACAAACCCTTTAATTGTCTGTAATTTGAGACATTTTTGACAGATTTTAATTTATTATTATTTTTTCAGTTAAAAGATCAAGAAAATGGTATGTTAGTATATGACATAAATTAGGATTGATTGGTATTCAATTGTTTTCGGTCGCTTCCTGTTTTACCGGAAATGACTACAACTTTTGATTTTTAAATGGCACCCTCGGTATTTTGTTACTTTTATTATTGGATAGAAAATGACACTCTCAATAGAATGACATATCATATATGTCAACTTTTGACATTTTCGAATATGGTTTATTTGAAATTGGAATATGTGAATCATAACGACAATTTGACTCGAAATACCAAGTGTGTGATACCAAATTATTCGTAAACAAATGATTTTTCCAAATATGCTCATGAACCACCCTCGTCCCATTTGAAAAAATTGAGATATGATTAAAAATACGATTTGGGGATCTTTTAACCGGCCAGAACAAGACACTAAAAACATTAGATGATCAAATCTATTTTTCCAAGGCACCTTGATTAAAAAATTAGTATTTTTAACAGTCATGGCACTCTAGATTGAAATGAAAATACAATTTTCTTTTAAGCGAAAATGTCGAAAGATTGCATATATGATATGTCATTATAATCAGAGTGTCATTTTCTATCGAATAAAGTAAAAAAATATCAAGGATGCCATTTAAAAATCAAAAGTTGTAATAGTGGCTGAAAAGAATTGAATAGGTCAATCAATCCTAATTTATATCATATACTAATTTACCAAATCTTGTTTTTTTATCTGAAAAAAATAAAAAGGTTAATAGGGGTGAGCCACTTTTGAGACGCACCCGATATTATTATCCATAGTATCCTTCCATATAAACAACAAAACGCATAGTCACAGCTACTTTAGCAAGGACATATATTTTCCCATCGTTTTATCCTCAACAAAACAGAAACAATGAAGCAATAAATTTAATAACAACCGTTCGATGATTCTGTTTCTGGTAAGTCCGTGGAACAAAATGCAATTACCGTTGATCCCCTCATGAATTTTAAAGTTTACGCTGTTTGCTATAGATAATTGATTCTTCTTTTGTACCCACTGGCGATTTTTCAAATTGCAATACATAATATATATTAGTTACTATGCACCACGCAAGTTTATTTTGTTTGTTGATAAGTTAATGACTTTAAGTAATAAATTATTTCCTTTTTATATTTTTTGTATAAGCATGAAATATAATTTAAAATACTCTATATAGAGTAATACGGGAGGTAAATTATTTCTAGGTTAAACCGCTATCAACCTTCTTGCTAATACTGATGATAAGTTTGCATAATACGAGCTAATATTAGTCTACTGATTAAGCGAAAGTCTAAATCAATTCTTACTCGCTAGAATTCCGATCTCATCCGGCCTCTAAACGACATGAATGAGCAGTGTCATGCAACAACAGCACAACGAAGGTTTGTAGAGGTCTACCCGATCTATCCAAATATTAACATCGTCTAACGTCCCCATCCTCCGCTGACAACAGATGTTCATCCTCCAAGGAATGGGCATCTACCTCCTACGAAGGTATACACCCTTCCACGATTGGGGTTTAGCCCTCCGTGGCCTTCACAGTCGAAGAGCTTGTCTCCGGCTGAGGTACCCTTGAGGTGGATACTGTCAAGTCGAGGATCTGTCTCCATCTGTTTAACTTGGCATCTCCTTAGACCTGATACCGGTGTTGTTCCGAATCTATAATAGAGGATATATCTCTTGTTCTTTATTGGCTCCTTGTATTTGAGATTAAGTACACCGCAAGGGTTAGTCGGTCCACTTCTACAGAGCCCCGCATGTAAGTAAGGGAGACGAGAATACAGTGGGTTGCCCCCTGGTGCCCCAAGGTTGAGAGCAGTAGAGGCTAGTCTTCTATCTAGCCACGCATCCTTTTAACCTGCTCCCGCCATTATAGAATTTAGGTTTTTGGTGAGGTTGTCTCCTCTTGGTCCAGGCGGTTAAGCTAAGAGCCCTCCACACCCCCTGCCCGTAATACATGACCACAGACAGCAGAGTAGAGGGTGCCTGGTATAACGGACAGGGTAGTCCCATCCGGCATCGTTATTCGTCTTGGTGCAATTCCCAGACCACGACACTACAGACAGGGACGAAACATTGAGATGCTCCTTAGACCCAGCTAAAGTGCTAGAGGGGATTCCCCCTAGCACCTGACCAGGAGCTTCCCCACCAACGACAAGGACTCGCATCGCCTAGAAGGTGCTCAATTTACTACAAAAAAAAAACATTTAAATAAACAAAAATTACATCTAATGCAGGAGATAGGGGAACTTTATATAACACTTTATGTGGGGAAACAAATATTGTTTTTTTTTAAATACCATCTCAATCTATTTTTTCTGTCTTTCAAATATTTGTCCTGCTTTTATTTATTTTCAACTACTTTAGTTTTTTTTTTTTCTATTGGAACATAATTGAAAATGTAGAATGTAAAAAGCAGAATGTATAGGTGAGGTGTCACCGCGACCTTACAGATCTATTGCGTGTCCCTCTTTCTTGTGTTATAATGAGTTATAACTTATCATACAGTTTCAGGGCTTTGACAAAGGCTCGTCTCTGAGACGGCTTCTCAATATCTATACCAGTCGTACCAAAGTTTATGGTACGAATGGTTGTCGTCTCGGCGCACTCAGTGTTCTCTCAAATTCTCGTGTTTCCACATTTTCCTCACAGAATCTGCATTCGCCGTTATTTCTTAGCTTCAATCTTCTAAGCTGTTCGTTGAGGAGACAGTGTCTTGTTAAAAACACCGTGACAATCCGAAGATTGTTTTTACCTAAATTCAAGGAATATCTTTGATTTTCCTCGATGGTAAGTTCTGAGAAATTTCTTCCAGTGTCTTAGCCCATTTAGGATTCCCATTCCAGGTTACGGATTGAATCTTCCATGTTCTTAAGTTCCGCTTTAAGTTGACTTCCACTTAGGAAGCAGCACGGTTCTGGTCCAGTTAGTGGAGTGTTCGCTACTTTTCTAGCTAGACTGTTTGGTTTTTCATTGCCATCTATTCTTTGGTGAGCTGGCACCCAGAGTTATTTTCTTTGCCTTATTTATTCAGCTATTTTAGGCATTCTTTGGCAAACTTTGAATTGATGGTTACTGAATTGATTGCTTTTAGTGCTACTAGACTAACGGGCAAGATAGCTATTTCATTTTTCCGGTAGTTGTACGCATCTTTACGCAAAGATGCTGGGGTAGGTACCTATTGGTTTGAATTATTTAGTTTTCGGCCTAAATACTCTTATCCCTGTCCCTGCTTTGGTTCTGGAACCGTCAATATACCACGTTATGGTTTGGTCTTTTTCCTGTTGAGCAAACGTTTCTCTCTTCCAATCGTTTTTATTACTACAGTGAGGTGTTTCTCAAAGTTGTACATTTTTGGTATGTCATCCACTGGGAATTTAAGGAGTGGGATTTTCCTTTTGAGGGTGTTCCAAGGTTCTGAGTTGACAATTCTCCAATTACTGTTTTCCTCAATGGGCATTCTAATCACTCTCGATCTACCGACGACAACGTGTAGTGGTGTTAGGTCTAGAGTGAACCTCATTGCTGCTGTTGGGCATGTTATCATAGCACCTGTGATACAGATGCATGCAAATCTCTATATTTTGCACAGATTTTGCCTTGCTGTACGTGGCTCTAGTTTTATCATTGCCAATACCGGATACGTTCATTGAAAATAACTGAATACTGTGTCACTATTGACTATTACGTATTATATTAATCGTTCAAAATCTTAAATTTTCTTAGAGAGCTTAGGACACCACCCTGTAAAACTAGTAATTGGTAATTAAAAATAGTTAATTATTTTAATCATTCATATTTCATGACCGTATATCGTTTTTACGTACGCAATTAATTTAGATAATATATGTGTGGCTAGTTTCTTTGCAACAAAACGCGAACACTGGCTGGTTAATTATCATCAATTAAATACGATATTAGTACAAATATTAATTTTTTAATACGCGGTCTTTGTGCATCCGTGTGCATCGCTATATGCGATTCTTTCATTGTGAAAAGTTAGAAAGCATAGAAGAATTACCATATGTTTTATCTAGTTTTACGGGGGTTGTTTGAAGAGTAAATTAATAACCTGAGCACTCAGTTATGGTACAGATTTTTGATCACTAAGAAAGTATGAAACTAATAAGCCTAACCTTTCTAGCCTTTATTTTAAATGACATTTTTGTCTTTTTAACAGATTTTATGTGACTTTTTCTCCTTTCGGATTAATATATTAATATTATATTCAATCTTTTCAAAATCATTATTGACTTGCAAAATTATGTAGAATGTTTAGGAGGGGGGTTAATCACTGCTACCTTACAGATCTATTGTGTGTTAACAAGTTATAACTCATCAAACAGTCTCAGGGCTTTGAAAAATGCCAGTATTTGAGATAGCTCCACAGAGGCAAGCTCTCCATCTTTGATATCAGCCGTACCAAAGTTTATGGCACAAATGTTTGTCGTCTAGGCGTACTCAGTGATAAGGTGCAAAACTATAAATGAAGAAACCAAAAAAATAAAGTGTTATAAGGTTATATTTAAGAATCTCTAAACTTAACATAACTTTAACAATTCCATAACGCCATATTGTGATTTAGTTACTTATAGGACCATTCTGTATATTTTGTAATTTGTAGTTAAAAATAGTTAATAATTTTCTCATAATTGATTTCTTCACTGAGTATTGTTAATTGTGTAGCTTTAACGCCAATAAAAGAAAACAAATAAAGAATTAAATAAACTGGTAACAACTGAGCAATAAAGATTAAAAGAAAGATATTTATAGTTTTATAGTAAAACTGATTACTTTTTAACCATCATCTGTATTCTTTGTTAATAAATCATATTATTACTTATATAAGATTAATTTTCACTTTAATTCAATTTCTTTGTTTACATTTAGTTGAATGAAAACTATCCACGCGGTACTTTTCAAGCCGAGTATTTTTCAATGTCATGATATTCTTTTAGTCTTATAAAGTGATGTAAATCATCTACCGTTCTTGACTTCATTGGCATTGATTTTTAATAACTTTATTTATACGAAGATTTATCATATTTAAATATTATTTCAGTTTAGAACAACAAAGAATGGACACACCACAACAGAAATCTAAACAAAAATCCAAAGAATGGACGTGGAAACAACAAACCGACGTAATAAAGTGGCAGGGAGGTCCACTGGATGGTCCTCTTCTAAAATTAGAAGATCCAGAACTGACTCCTTTAGCAATAGAATGTTTCGACTGTATTCTGAAGTATTGTGGAGATCAACCCTTAACACCCGATATGTCTGAAGTCAAATGTGTCTACACAGTACTAATGGTAATGCATCTTTTTAAGTTTCTTCTTAAAGCAGTTGCTAACACTGTACTATATATCACCAATTCATCATTGACTGCTAAATTTATATGCCATTATAAATATTTGACGCTTTTAGACTAATCATGTTTTGTACATACATCACTTTAGCCTACAGCTAAAACATATTCTCCTTCCTACGCTTTCACTTTTTTATTCTAGTTAACACTTGGAACAAGCATTTACTATTCAGTACTTATCTGTATGTCTTATCCCTTATCTATGATGTTTTAAAATGTTCAAATTAGATAAAATATCTTTCACAGCACTGCCACAAGTACGCGGAACTCAGAGACGAAGTTTATTGCCAATTGATGAAGCAGACCACTAGTAACAAATCTGAGTCACCTGAATCCAGTCAAAGGTGAGTTAAAATCCTGTTAAAATCGGTCTTACAAAAGAAAGTTTGTTTTCATTGATTCCAATTTAGGGCATGGAGGTTACTATCGATAGTAGCTGCGTATTTTGCGTGTTCGGAAAATCTTTTACCCTATCTGATGGAGCATTTGGCTAGTGCTGCAAATGATAGAAGAAGAATCTGTCATGGTACTGCTGCTGTGTGTGTTACTAACTTAAGAAAGACTCAGAGATGTGGTGGAAGAAAGAATGTTCCTTCAGTGGAAGAAGTTACTGCTGTTAGTGCCGGTAAGTAAAATTATTATACAGGGTGATTCACCTCATTCGACACGGAGTATTTTAGCCACAGATGGGATCGTTGGAGAACTACTAAAGTTACAATTTAAAATTATTTTCAAAAGATACACAGTGTCCAAATAAATAAAAAATATTATTTTTTTTTCTTAAATGGAACACCCTGTAAATTTAATTAAGGTTTACCGCAATTTAATATTACCGTTTTAGAAATATTTTCGTTTTTGTGAAAATACATTAACAGTTTTAATGCTTCGTTTCTCAATGCGTTTTTAAAATTACATGAAACAATACATAGTAAAGTATAAATAATACTATACTGAAGTTTTTTGATTTACTGAATTTTGTGTCGCAATAATAAAATACCTACAACCTTATACAGAGTGTCTAAAATTCTATTTTAAATAATTACTAGTTTTGAACGGCAATAACTTGTTTAATTTAAATAGAACATCCTGTATATTTTAAGAGAATCAGATGCACAATTTAATTGTCTTTCAAATTGCATTATAGCATTTTTACCTATCTCTTCAAGTTTTCGTAGAAAATGCATTTTCTTATAATTTAGACCTCATTTATCAATGTGTCCATGGAATATAGATATTTTAGATTATTTTTAAAGATGTAACAAATTTTCAAAGAGTATAGATACTCTAATATTGTCGATTTAGTTCGCTTATTTCATTAAAAAAAAAACAAAGAAAACTGTTTAAATATTTGTAAAAGGGGACCAATTAATGTTATCCCAGTATTCGAAATACATTGATTTGCTGTTTGCGTTGATTAATAATTTCTCCAAATACTAAAAAACTAAATTTTTATGTGTATTAGACAGTGTGGTAAAAAGTAAAGCATTATAAATTTTATTTAATTTTTTGACGAATGCTTATTTATAATAACAGAGACGTTCATATTCATAACATATTATTACCTAAAACAATTAAGTACCTATATAATTAATTAATATTTATGTGGAAATAAAGGGGGTATATTTAATTGATATACTCTTTAACAAAGATTTAAATAGTTTTGTTTTGTAAACAAATAGGCTAGCAATATTATTGTTTATAGCACTTGTTTTGTACATTTTTGTTGCTTTGAAAAATCTAAAATGTCAATATTCCGTGGGTATATTGATAAATGAAGTCTAAATTATAAAGGAATGCATTTTCTACGAAAACTTGAAGTAGTAGGTAAAAAGTGGTATAATATAACTTGATACACAATTAAATCGTGCATCTGATTTACGTAAAATATAAGGGTGTTCCATTTAAATTAAACAAGTTATTGCCGTTTCAAGCTACTAATTATCTAATATAAAATTTTAGACACTCTGTATAAAGTACTATAATTTTTATTATTGCAATACAAAATTTAGTAAATAGAAAAACTTCAGTACAATATTTGGTTTCAAAAACTTAAATACGCCTAGAGAAATGAAGCATTAATTGTTACTGCCTTTTCACAAAATCGTAAATATTAAATATTTCAAACAGTGTAAGATTAAAGTGCAGTAAACCTAATCAAATTTTCCTTTATTTTAATCATAGAAAGTAATAATGTAATAATATACAGGGTGTTCTATTTAAAAGAAAATACAACTTCGATGTTTTTTTTTATTTTGTACTTTGTACTAGTGATGGGCATTACGATTCTTTTTAGTGAATCGAACCACACGATTCAATTTCTCATATTGAATCAACTCCTACGATTCGTCCATTTGAACGAATCACATGCACACATCCTCGCAAAAATCGTAACTGGCACTACCGGCGATAATTTGGTAGGGCAATTACTTAACGGACTAAAAAAAGAAATATACAATTCTTTCATTTGTTTTTCAACACTTTATAACACTGGCGTAATTGGATTAATAATTTTACCAATAATATTAAATTATCAATCCAATTTATATACAGATTGTTAACTGGACAATTACTTATAGGGGGACAGAATGGCAACACTGCCTATTGAGAACGCATGCACTTATAGGGTTTCGCGTCGTCTATCGACAAGCGGGCAGAGGTTGCCATATTTCAACCATAAAGCTCTTGCCGCGAGTAATAAACAAATTAACAACCTGTATACTATTTATTAAAGACTTCTTAATACCAATTTAATATTTTTAGAGCCATATTTTAATTCCGATTTAATAATCATAATAAATCGTATATAATACCGCATGATCGGAAAAAAATTTGGATTGGAAATGAACATCGATGACATTCTCCGCATGACAGCGATCTTCATTTTGTATATCACGCGCCGCGCCATAGAAACGAACGATCGCGTTGTGATTCGATTCAATTCTCACGATTCTTTTTTACGGCTCATCGTGCAAATGTGATGCGTGTTGGCCACAATGCAATTGAACGAACCGGATTGCAATCAATGATTCGAATCTCACGATTCATTTTTAATACTCGTTCAAAGGAACGACTCCTTCAATCTTTGCTCACCTCTACTTTGTACCTTTTTAAAATAAATTTAATTTGTAGCTTTAGTAGTCCTGCAACGATCCCATCACTCACTATTTCTAAAAATCTAACCACTTGGCTACAGTACTCCGTGTTGAATGAGGTGAATAACCTTGTATTTTCTTGCAACGAAAAAAAAATATACACACATATTAACAAACAAAAATATCTCCTAGGTCGTAGTGCTAGAAGACAAATTTATCGATTACCTGGTGGTGCAGAAAGGGTAGTAAACACTCGTTGCAGTACGGTTGTAGCTGACGTCATTCAAGAACTTTGCGGACTTATTGGTGTTAGTAGCGAGGCCGAACAACAAGAGTTTAGTCTGTATTGTATAGTCCAAGGTGACGCTTTTACCATGCCCTTAGCTGCTGACGAATATATTTTGGATGTTACGACGGAACTTCATAAATCAGCTCAGCCATTCTACTTGATATTCTGTAGATCTGTTTGGTAAGGAATTCGAACTATATTTCATATCTCATATCAATTAAACTTTTAGTTACGTAATCGAGGGCGCGATTTTTAAATTCATTATTGCCAACCATGGACATATTCGGCGCCGTGCTGACTAACTGAAATTTAAATTTCGCGCTGGGGATTCAGGTGGTTGCTCTGCTGTAAAAAATGTCAAGTTGCCGCACTTATTTATTTATTTCCTGACATTGTCATTCATTTTGACACAGTAGTTTTGTATTATGTGTTGCAGCGTTTTTTTATAAACATTACCACTGCCAACGGCAGCTTTTCATCGGAGAGCAGTCGTGGATAAGGTATTTCTTACGTGGATAAGATATTACTTAAGATGTACGTTATTGTTTAAGACTGAAAATATTTTAAATGTTAAATGTAAAACTAGAACTTAAATCTACACTTAGCTGTTCTTTATGTAATCATGTAACAGTAACAGCGTGAGGTGGGCTTGCATCTCTGTACTCGGCCATCCAATACAACAAAAGGGGCTAGAATGAGGACACCATGAATTGATACAGCCGTAACTACTAAGTTATAGATGGGAACGAAGCAGCATGGGGCTCAAGCTACATCCAGGCTGGGGCACTTTATATGTAAGAAAAATAATTCCTACTGGGGACACTCGTCCACAGGACATCCGTACATAGGATAATGGTACAAAGGAACACTACCCGTACCTTAAACCATAACCTAGGACTATAACCTTGGAAATAGTCCGTACCTTGGACCCTAAAAATATGAAACTCTTGTTTAAAACCAAACAAGGTCTAATAAACAAAATAAACCTACCTCGAATTACTTCCGAGGGCTCAATAATAAACAAAGGAACTGCCCTTTCATCCATGTAACATTCTGGAGGACAAAAGAAAAGGGACGCCAATGTGCCAGCAAAATACAAATACAAGTTAAGTTGGGCCATCCAAAACTCTACCCTACAAATATGCAGTAATAATATTGAATCTAAAAGGATAATATCTCATCTTTACCTGTTGCTTTGAAATAGCAGCTGATTCAAATTATACAGCAAGATTTAAATAATCACCATTTCTAAAAGCCGGGATACAACAGAGCGGCAAAACAAAGTGAGGTTAAGCACGGAGAGAGTTGACAGAAGCGATGTAGATAGCGCCTCCACAGAGCGATAACAGGGTTGTGTCAAACGATAACAGGGTTGTGGACTAGAGAACGTAAAAATCACGCCAAGCGCGTCAAATAAATTATCCGGCCTGAACGATATGGAATCCGATGACGATACGCCAGACATCATATAAATCATATATAAAAAAATACATGTAACGAACTAAAAACGTTACAGTGTTTGGTTTAAATAAATAGTGTTGTGATACTTTAAACTTGAAAATGTTTACTAGTAGACCTTGCAGTTACAAATTGTTCTTTTTTTTTAAAGAGTTTTAGAACCTCTTTTAATGCGAATTGTACAAGATAGCTTAATAGTCGTAAAATAGTAAGTAAGTAAGTAAGTAGTAGTCGTAAAAACTCATCGCAACTTGCTGACCTGGATATTATTTATTTGAATCTTTCAATTGGCTCGATTTTCCTTATTCGATGTTAATTAGCGCTGATCAATTTTGCTGCGATGAATATAAGCAGATTAAATAATTTAAAAAACCAGAGTCGGACTTGAAATTATTTTAAATAATAATTAAATAGTTTTGTTGTTGTTAAAGTATCGTGTAGTTGTTAAACAATAGTGTAGCATATCACTGTACTTAGGAGACCGAGTTCTTTCAAAACTTGATATAAATGCAGGTCCGTATTTAAAAAATATAAGTCGGCCTCTGTATCTCACAAATTATCAGCTAATTTGAAAATCTAAAAATACTATCAAAGAGCCCTAATGAAGTGGCTATGAGAATGTGAAATTAGTTTTTTGATTTTCTAAAAAGTAACGACAGGAAAAAATAAAATTGATTTTCAAAAATATCCGTTTTTTCCAAAAAAACTCAGCAATCCTTGAAATTTTTAAAACTTTTTTGATGGCATCTTGGTGAACAGCCCAAGGCACAACTTTGCCCCAATTTAACCATCTTCGTATCTATTACGGTTTCCGAGATACCAATGCTCGTACCTCGAATTTGTAGCACCCTGTATATTTATAATTAATTTATTTTTATTTCCTAAAATATTTTGATTAAAAGAAAATATTTAAAAGTGGGCAACGCTGTGCCGGTCAAGCTTAATCACGTGTCTAAAAGTTTATTTGGTATAAACTGTATTTAATGGGTAGTTATAAAATTATTATTTCCAGGTATCATCCGCTCAAGCATGATGCTAGTCCTCTTTACACTGAAGTTCTGTTTAATCAAGTGGCTCCTGACTATTTAGAAGGATTACTTCTCCGTCTAGGAAACCCAAACCTACCTCCAAGTGTTGTTCGAGATATGGCTCTAGTAGCAGCTCTTCTTCATAGGTACGTTCGTGATTTATGTAATAGTTTTTGCGGTATGTGTCAAGCTGATAATCCATTTTAATGACAAATAGATATTAACAGTAAAAGTACATCTTTTATTAATTGAAATACTTTTGAACTGTTGCAGAGCTGCCGATCTTGGTCACTCACCTAGTCTGAAAGAAGTAAAATTCTTATTGCCGAAGCCTGTCCTTGGTCTAAGAGAACCAAGACCACCACAGTGGTTGGCGTTGGTGCAAACAAGTTGGGGACAAGCCGCCGGCATGTCCGTATCGAGAGCTAAACTGCGAGTATTACAAGTTTTGAGCAGTTGGCCTCTATTTGGTGAGTTGATGTTTTCAAAATGTTACTGATCTCCTATGCAATACGATACTAGTGCAAATGAAAAAAATGAAATTTATTTAAAATTTTATACAGATTTGTTTCTACCTTTGAAACAGAGTATTGGCTGATGTAGACATGGGTCTATATAAAATCAAATTGGCATATATACCTGTAACCAAATAAGTTATTGCCGTTTAAAGCTAGTAATTATTTAATATAACTTTTTGGACACTCTGTATAAGGTAGTATAATTTTTTATCATTGCAACACAATATCTAATTAATAAATAATCTTCAGTAAATATTTAGTATTAAAAATTTGATACCCTTGGAGAAATGACACCTTAAATTTTTTACTGCAATTTCACAAAATTGAAAATATTTCAAAAAGCAGAATATGTTACGGCAGCGAAGGTTTAAGTGTGATAAACCTTAATCAAATTTACCTTTATTTCAATCGTAGAATCTAAAAATAGAATAATATACAGGGTGTTCCATTTAAAAAAATACATCTACTTATTTAGGACACTCTGTATCTTGTGAAATTATTTTTAAATTGTAGCTCTAATAGTCTTTCAACAAACCGAAAACTTACAATTTCTAAAAATCTAATCGTTCAGCTACAATACTCCGTGTCGTATGTGGTGAACAACCCTGTATGGGCAAAATATAAAAAACAACCCTCGTAATAAATTTGTTCTTGATATTAAGTATGATTTAATTTATATTTCTCATTGCAGGAAGCTCGTTCTTTGCCGTTAAGCGTGTTGTCGGAGAACCCGAACACTGGCAGGAACACATACTAGCACTCAACCGAGGAGGAGTCCATTTCCTGGACATGGGCACGCACGAAACATTGCAACACTGGCCTTTTGCCGAAGTGATCAGTACCAGGAAGGTCCGCTCCGAAGATGGCGCCCTATTCCTCGACATGAAATGTGGCAATCTCTTGCAACAACGGGTCACTAGATTGCAAACCGAACAGGCACACGAAATATCAAGACTTGTTAGGCAATATATTAATTTAGAACAGGAGCACAGTAGTAGAAAGTAGACAACTGCATAGGAAACACGGATTTTATTTGCATTCAAAGGAACAGGGTTGTAAATCATTTCAGTAGCATCTTGAGCATTCTATGATTAAAACTGTAATATCAGTTTTATAATTTCTAAAATAGTAATGGATATATTACGATTATGCAGGGGTGGTCCAAACTGTATTAGGGAAAAACTGTCAGCATATTTTGCAGATAAAAATAAGTAAAAAAGTTCGTATAAATTTCTGTCCTAAAATGCTTCGTTTCGGAGGTACAGGGTGATTACATTTTGATTTCATTTTTTTTTTCAAATAATTTCTGAACTATGGTCGATATGTGAATAAAAATTGGTGGCTGGATATTTTTTGATATGAGAAATACGATTTCGATGTTAGTATGACTCCTACTTGTAGGTGGCGCCACCTACATATTTTTAGCCTGCCTTGAAAAGTAATAACTTTTCGTCCGTACTTGTATAAAACAACTGTGTAAAAATCGCTACGAGTAATGGTTTTCCAGATATTTGGAATCTAAATTATCAATACCTCTCATTTTTGATATAAATTAACCATGTTGACTAAATAGTTATTAGACTACACTACGAAGTGAAAGAATATACATTTTCGTCATTTTTTATCTCTATTTTAATCGCTATGAATAATGGTTCTCAAGATATTTGGAATCGAAATTGTCTATATGTCATAATTGGCAGTTACTAGTCTGAAATAATAAATTTAAAATGTTTTTGGGCCAAAGTTTTAGCAGAAACTTTTAGCAGTTTTTTCGTATTTTTTTCTAGAAAAATTAATGATAAGCTCAAAAAAATAAAAAGTTCCCAAATTTATGTATCATTTTAGTCAAATAACTACCTAGTCACAATGTTAATTTTTTTGTTAATAATGACGTGTATTGGCGATTTCCATTCCAAATATCTTGGAAACGGTTGCTCTTACCGATTTTTACCAATATACCTTTTTTACGTACAAAATGACGGAAATGTATATTTTTTCACTCAGTAGTTTTATACAGGTGTGGACGAAAAGTTATTACCCTTCAAATCAGTTAAAAAATGTAAGTGGCTTCCACTACAAGTGGAAGTCATATTGACATTGAAATCAAATTTCTCATGTCAAAAAACACTCAAGACAACAATTTTAACAAATAGGCCTCAGATTTGGAAAAAAAACAGAAATAAAAATGAAAATTCTACACCCTGTATCTCCGACATGAAGCATTTTAGGACATAAATTTATAGAAACTTTTTTACTTATTTTTATCTGCAGAATATACTGCTGAAGTTTTCCGAATATAATTCGGACCACCCTGTATAATATAATTATTAGAGGCATGTATGTGCATTTTTCCTAAAAAGTATAACATATTTATTTCACTCTTTTTTGGATTGCTCAAGAAGGTATAAAATGACCTTGTTTATGAAAAATCAATCAATTCTTCATTTATTATATAATATGTAATATTTCTATCTACTGGTAATATTACTACAGATATTTATCATAGTAGATATTGTATATAAACAGTTTTAAAGAATATAAAGAGTTAAAGCATTGGTATATTTTTATAGTAACTTGCTCATGATTATTTAAGTTGTAATTTCAAGTATATTAAAGCCAGTAAGTGAAAAACATAATTGGTTTTGATTGAACTTATTTTCTAGTACTTTTAGCACACATAAATTGCTTCTAACAATGTAAATAAAACAGTTTATCGTTTAATGTTAACATTCTTTCCCAGATTTATTTTTACCGTAAATTTTTTTGTAACATACATTATTGTCATATTTCTAAGCGTTCCATAGTCAGATATTATGTTAAAAATATATATTAATTACATTCAGCAAGATATATACATTCATACTGCAATTAATAACAGACTCGTTTTTCAAACAACAAACACATTTTTGAGGAATGTTTATATTTTGTACAGTAATATGGTGAATGTAATAAAGATATAAAAATTAAGAGGTGTTTTTTTATTATGTTGTATTGTGCTTTAATAAAAAATAAATACAATAGTTACACTTCAGTAGGACTGTGCCTAGGTGTTTTTGGTCCAGACTTTTTAGACTCGCCCCAGTGTTGAACAGTATATTGTACGTATCCAGGGTCCAGCGGACCACTTGGAGGCTTCTCAAAAACATCGATAATTTCACTTTGCGGAGGAACTACAGGAGGAATGACGTATTTGGAAACTTTTCCTAAAAGTAAAGTTAAAAACACTGTTTTTTGAAATTAAAAGTTATCATGCAGGAGGACACAGCACTAAAACAACACTTAAAAGAAGCAGTGCATATTTATTTGTAATTTGTGTAACAAGGAATTATGGTTAGAACAATATATATTCTAAGTTAACTAATATTAGTAAATCCTAGAATAAATAAATGAGTATTTGTATGGAAAAAATTGTGATATTTGAACCAGCATCATCTAACCCCAATAACACCGTAATTAGGAGTGTTGGATCTACCCTTTCGAATTTGACTCCACACCGGAGAATGTAGCTCTATTTTTGGAGGTATGCTGGCTGTTTCGTCAGTTTCGCTGCCTTGATCAGTTACGTCTTTTCCATAGATGCCAAATCCTCTAGAAATATCAAAGCGGTCGTCTTTCATTTGCTGGTATCCTTTGGAAGTTGGATCTAGGTGTATATAACCTAAAAGAAATTAGTCTGTAATTTATAAACTCTTTTTTTACAATTTACATACTTCGACTTGGTAAGATCGTTGGCTCTTTGAAGGTAGTATCAAGTCTGTCGTGTGTCCCACCATTTTTATAATGTGTCCCACCATTTTTAATTCCGTTTGTTTTAGGTATCTGCTTGTGTTTCGCGGTATATCCATCTACTTGTGGTTGATCTCCTATATCAACGGCTCGTTCAGATCTTGTGACTTCCTATAAAATAACTTACTAATATATGTAGATATATTTGATATCAATTAAACTTTTAGTTACGTAATCGAGGGCGCGATTTTTAAATTCATTGTTGCCAACCATTGACATATTCGGCGCCAGACTGACTAATTGGAATTTAAATTTCCTGCTGGGGATTCAGGTAGCAGCTCTGCCGTAAAAAATGTCAAGTTGTCGAATTTATTTATTTACTCGTATTTCTACGTGTGTTAAGTTAGCACAACCACTTTAAAAAAAATGTATGAAACTATGTGGAATAATTGCCGTAAATTAGCCGTAAATTTGCCGTGAAAACGAAAAATTTGCCGCTCTTCGCTAAGTATGTTAAATCGATGGTTGTGCTAAGTTAATATTAAGTTAGCACAACCACCATTGGAAATCAGTGAAAGAACATAGCTAGGAATTTTATAGTATAGCAGGAATTTGCCGTTTTTTTGCCGTTCTTAGATACACTTAAAAAAAATATCCTCCGATCATTCTCTATCCCCCTGCAACAAAAAATGTAATAGCATCAAGGTCACATATTAAGTTAGCACAACCATTCCAGTAAACGTTAAGTAAAATGTCTGAAATTAGGTGGAGCAATTGCCGTAAATTAGCCGTAAATACACCAAGCAAACGAAAAATTTGCCGCTCTATTATTTCTTTATAAAATCTACAGGGTGATTCAGGCTTTCGAAAAAGCTCTATGTTAGGTTTTTGGTGTGTGAATTTCATTTCATTTTTTTATATAATATGGGGGCAATGGTAACGTACATTTTGAAAATATTTTTGTCAGCATACAGGGTGATTCAAACATATTTTCAAATTAAAGTTGTATATTTTTAAATGGGATACTATATATTTTTTTAGCTCAGTGGATTTGCCACTAAATTTCTGTTTCAAAATACCCCAATTTCATATACTATACCTAATGGTTTTTGAAATATAACCGTTTTTAAACTAAATTTATTGCTTATTTAAAGTTCTCTGAAAATTCAAAATTCGAAGAATTTAAAAAAAATTTAACAGGATGTACTGAATAATAGTGCCTTCTTCAAAATTCGGTCTTCCAGAATTTGCAATCTTCTTTGATATATACAAGGTGAGTCAAAACTAAATGTTGTATTTTCATCTACTATTTTAAATGGAACACCCTGTATTTTGTGTCATAATCGAAATAAAAGAGCGGCAAATTCTTTTACTTCACGGCTTGTTTACGGCATATTCCTGTTGTACTATAAAGTCATTATTGATACCATTTAGTGAATTTTAAGAAAAATCGCGCTAATTTACGTTATCGATTACGTTAATTAAAAAATATCGATTTTATAAACAAATAATTGAGCGGCAAATTTTTCGATAGCATGGTATATTTACGGCTAATTTACGGCAATTGTTCCATCTAATTTCAGGCATTTTACTTAACGTTTACTGGAATGGTTGTGCTAACTTAATATATGACCTTGACGCTATTACATTTTTTGTTGCAGGGGGATAAATAATTTTCTTATTGAATATCGACATTCGGCATTAATAAAACAAAAAGATTCAACAACACCTTGATCGATTATGATACAAAATACAGGGTGTTCCATTTAAAATAGTAGATAAAAATACAACATTTAGTTTTGACTCGCTCTGTATATATCAAACAAGATTACAAATTTTGGTAGACCGAATTTTGAAGAAGACACCATTATTCAGTACTTCCTGTTAATTTTTTTTTAAATTCTTCGAATTTAGAATTTTCAGAGAACTTTAAATAAGCAATAAATTTAGTTTAAAAACGGGTATATTTCAAAAACCATTAGGTATAGTATATGAAATTGGGGTATTTTGAACCAGAAATTTAGTGGCAAATCCACTGAGCTAAAAAAATATATAGTATCCCATTTAAAAATATACAACTTTAGTTTGAAAATATGTTTGAATCACCCTGTATGCTGACAAAAATATTTTTAAAATGGGCGTTCCTATTGCCCCTATATTATATAAAAAAATGAAATAAAATTCACAAACCAAAAACCTAACATAGAGCTTTTTCGGAAGCCTGAATCACCCTGTAGATTTTATAAAGAAATAAAAGAGCGGCAAATTTTTCGATTTCACGGCTTATTTACGGCATATTCTTTTTGTACTAAAAAGTTATTATTGATCCCATTTAGTGAATTTTAAGAAAAATCGCGCTAATTTAACGTTATGGTTTACGTTAATTATCGATTTTTTAAACAAATAATAGAGCGGCAAATTTTTTGTTTGCATGGTGTATTTACGGCTAATTTACGGCAATTGTTCCACCTAATTTCAGACATTTTACTTAACGTTTACTGGAATGGTTGTGCTAACTTAATATGTGACCTTGACGCTATTACATTTTTTGTTGCAGGGGGATAGAGAATGATCGAAGGATATTTTTTTTAATTGTATCTAAGAACGGCAAAAAACGGCAAATTCCTGCTGTACTATAAAATTCCTAGCTATGTTCTTTCACTGATTTCCAATGGTGGTTGTGCTAACTTAATATTAACTTAGCACAACCATCGATTTAACATACTTAGCGAAGAGCGGCAAATTTTTCGTTTTCACGGCAAATTTACGGCTAATTTACGGCAATTATTCCAAATAGTTTCATATATTTTTTTAAAGTGGTTGTGCTAACTTAACACACGTCGTATTTCTTGAAATTGGCATTCGTTTTGACACTTTATATAGTTTTGTATTACGAGTTTTTGGTTTAAATAAATAGTGTTGTGATACTTTAAGCTAAAAAATGTTTACTTACAGACCTTGAAGTCGAACATAGTTCTTTTTAGAACCTCTTTTAGTGCGAAGTGTACCGGGTGTCCCATTAAGAAAAGCTCTCGGCTGTATCTCGGAAAGTATTAGTCGTAGAGCTTGCGAAAAAAAAATATTTGTGACTAAAGAGAGCATGAGAAATTGCTGGAAATTATTTTCAAGTTTGTAGAGCGGCCGCTAGAGGGCGCAACTGCTAATAAAAATAAGAAAAAGGAGTTTTTACACAATTTTGCCTAGATAACGGATACTATAAATAATAGATTCATAATCTTCAGTAAATTTTGCATATTTTTTGTTAGAACCACTTTCCCCTATCTGCCAAAATAAAGTGATGGGGGAAGGTTAGATCTGTTTTTATTTAAACATTAATAACTCCGGACTGGATGAACAGAATCTAACAAACGGGAGCTCGTTTAAAAGAGCGTTTTTTACTCTATATTATGCCATATAAACAATAAAAATAAGCTTTTGAGCGTAGACGCTAGGGGCCCTGTCTTACAATTTAACAAACATTACGCGTTTTTTCGAAAAAGTTAAATGCAATAGTATATGTAATTTTAGCTGATACTTAAGAGTAATAAAAGTTTAAAAATTCAGCGAAAATCGCATCTTGATATCTTTTTTCAAACGAAAGTTATTAGCAAAATTATAATAAATACGAAAAAATAAGCCCTTAACTACCTTATCTTTCTAACACGGTATCCCTACCCCTTTTGATTATGACCATTATAATAAAAAATAAGATAGAAAAGATTATTTCATTCAAAAAATCGACAACGTACCAGAATACCATAATACTAGGTGTATTTATATCTAATAATTAAGATATCAATGAGAGTTACTAAGAAACGACGCCTCAGTGAATTCATGGTAGGTTTTGGAAAAACGTTGCTTTTAAAGAGATAGTTTGAACTCAAAATATTATTATATCAACAATTTGATAGTCTCAGCAGCGTTTTTTATCTTTTGATTGCTTTTCTAAAAATGCCTTTCTTCAAAAGAGAAAAAACGCTGCTAAGACTAGCAAGATGTTTTGACGTTTATATTATTACGTCAAAAGCATCTTTTTTCCAAAGCCTACCATGACTTCACTGAGGCGTCGTTTCTTATTCACTGTCATTGACATCTTAATTATTAGATATTAATTCATCTGATATTGTCGTATTCTGGTATATTGTCGAGTTTAAAATAAACTAATCGTTTCTAAATCTTATTTTTTGAAAAAACGCGCTATGTTTGTTAAATTATAAGACAGCGCCCCCTAGCGTCTACAATCAACAGCTTATTATTATTGTTTATACGCTATAATATAGAGTAAGAAACGCTCTTTTAGTCGAGCCCCCGTTTGTTAGATTCCGTTCATCCAGTCCGGAGTTATTAATGTTTAAATAAAAACAGATCTAACCTTCCCTCACCACTTTATTTTGGCAGATAGGGGAAAATAGTTCTAACAAAAAATATCAAAATTTACTGAAAATTACAAATCTATTATTTATAGTATCCGCTATCTAGGCAAAATTGAGTAAAAACTCCATTTTCTTATTTTTAATAACAGTTGCGCCCTCTAGCGGCCGCTCTATAAACTTGAAAATAATTTCCAGCAATTTCTCATGCTCTCTTTAGTTATAAATATTTTTTCCGCAAGCTCTACGACTAATACTTTCCGAGATACAGCCGAGAGCTATTCTTAGTGGGACACCCTGTACAAGCCGTAAGAAACACATCGCAACTTTATTAGAATATTTTGAACGGGAAAGAAGTAGTGATGTGTCGGTACTTGAATAACGCGATTTTGGAGCGGTATTTTTTTGTAACGTTGTGTCGCGCTCCACAACGAATCAGGAGCCTGTTATTGAAGAACGACGATCATAATGACGACAAAATTATAAATTATTTATAATTTGGAAATAAATTATTTATAATCGCTCTTGAAGTTAGTTCGAACCGTAGTAACCGCATAGCGACGTGTTTAGCTCTAGCCGTCTCGATTTCGTCGGTCGCCAACAGTAGTATCTGGAACTGGTATGTCCGTAGCGCCGCGCGATCTCGCTCGGGACGCGTTCGCTCCAGCCGTCGCGCTCCTAGAGTTGTAGTTCCCTGTCGCAAACAGAAGTAACTGGTCATCGATGCTCGACCTCGGCGGCGACCTACTTCGCTCCAGCCATCGCGCTTCTAGAGTTTTAATTCCCTGTCGCGAACAGAAGTAACTGCGGTAACTGATTATCGACGCTCGACCTCGGTAGCGACGTACTTCGTTCCAGCAGTCGCTGGAGCGCTTCTAGGGTTTCATTTTCGCCTGTCGCGATTGGGTCGGTTACTACTGGCGTTGGTGCTCCCGTCACTATGTTACTTTCGAAATAGCGATTTTTGGTATGTACTAGGCATGGTATAAAATAGCGTTGTTAGAAAGATGAAACGTAAAAGTAATTAAAATAAAAATGTTACTTGCTTTTATACATTTATATAAGTTTTATTGTTTATATCTATTTTTAAGGTCTAATGATGGCTGGAATTGCCGAAACCTGTCACCAATAAAGAATTTTTTGACAGTGGTTTGGACTTTGTTCTTGATTTTAACAATAAATATATTATGTTGCAATACACATAAATATGAGCAGTTAAAGATAATACGTCATTCCTTGATATTTCTTTAAAAATTAAAATATAATGCTACATCCCGCAATATAATGAACAAAACATTATAGCGACAGGTAATCAATTTCGCAAGCAACTAATTATAGTTTAACTAACTTATTTTATTTTTGTATTTCTCAGCATCAAAAATTTAAAAAATATAGGGCCATTTTCTATAAAGTAAACACCGCTCTCCATATAGGCGTTCTATTAAGTTCATTATCTAAGTTTATGACACGAATGGTTGTAACAGCTGATACAATTGTAAGAACCTGACCACACTGGTTGGGAGTAGATACAGTTCGTCTGGTGGATCTGTGTCTATGAAAGGAATGCGGACAAAAAACATTTAAATAAACAGCAATATATTTTATACGTCGACTTGACGAGTACGTCACCGCAAATCGCTCCGCCCACTCACTTTATTGGCTACTTGCAAATTTGTCGAATTTTTATTGATGGGACGCGTCGTCTAATTTTTTACGAAAAACATCGAGAGAATATCGTTTCCCCTCTCACGGATACCCCGTAGCCACAGAACGGACAGACGTACTGTAACTAATGCCAGAAATACTGCATAAGCGAGGACCGCGACACTGTGACAAGTCTTTTATTATAGACAAGTCGGAACCTCGATTACAAAATAGCGGTATTTTGTCGCGGTATTTTTCTGGAACGGTCGTTACTGTAACGCGACTCATGTAGAACTGGTATTCCACTATCAGAGGAAGATAGAGGTAATCATCACTAGAAAGAGGTAATAATGGCCTTTTATGTCCCTTAAGTGCTGTTAAGAAGATGTGTTTTGTTGATGTAAACAGTAACTGTTTATATATTTATAATTAATTTATTTTTGTTTCCTAAAATATTTTGATTAAAAGAAAATATATAAAAGTGGGCAACGCTATACCGGTCAAGCTTAATCACACGACTAAAAGTTTATTTGGTATGAACTGTATTTAGTTATTTCATATTTTATATATACCCTTTCAATATCCTGTATTTCCTGTACAACATTTCGCTGGTTTCCTCTTTTGTTGCCATTTTCAACTTGTCTTTTGGTACTAGGTGGTGGCAGTGATGGTTGCTTTTTAGCTTTGGGAGCACCCATGTCAAGAAGAAAGAGAGCACCTCCTACTACTGATACAGCTCCTAATATTGCAGCATTGTCTATTAAATTTGTAGGAAGAGAATCTATGGCAGCAAAACACAAACTTCCTAAAAAATAAAAATATATCTCAATAAAGCATTATTAGAAAGGTTTGAAAAACAATTTGCTAAGAGTTGCAATAGTTATTTAATCATATAAAATTTATCTATTAACTGTTTTTTAGATTGTAAATAAAAAATTAATTAAAACTTCAGTAAAAATAGTCAATAAATAAAACAGACCTTATGAAGTAGATACATTTAATTCAATAGTTCATAAAATCATTTTAAATACACGAAAGAACAGACATATATAAATAAAACATAAAGAAATACATAAACAGAGATATAAATCGCATAAAAAATACATTAATAAAAAACGACTATCCACCATATTTTATTGACAAAACATTAAACGAGAAATACAAACCCCAAATCATAGACACAATGATAACAATACTCAATATATACAACTTACAACAAATACATACGAGGCGTTTCGGAAAAAATAAGAAGGATAGGAAAACAATATAACATACGAACATCTTTCAAAACACAAAATACACTTAGATCCATTTTATCACATACTAAACCAATAAATACAGAACAACAAACAAAAAATGTAATATACCACATACCCTGTGAATGCGATAAATTTTACATTGGTGAAACATCTAGACCCTTAAATGTTAGAATTAAAAAACATAAAGATTATTTAAGAAAGGTAGATTTTCACAAATCTAAGATTTGTCAGCATTCATGGGACACAGGGCACAGAATAAATTTTAATAACGCCAAAAGTATAATGAAAGAAGCGATAGCCTCTAAAAGAAAAATAAAAGAGGGTTTTTTAATTCAATCTAATAAAAATAAATGTGTAATTTGTATAAATGAGCCTCATGCATCTCTAGATGTTAGTAATGTATGGCAATCGCTTCCTTTGATTTTAAAGAACATAACATAAATAAACATAACATACGTACATTTTAAAAATAATCATACAGAAAGTTTGGGCTTTTTGGTTTTACCTTATTAAGTAATTGTTATCATGTAGTAATTGTTAATTTTGAAGTTTAACTTGATATAATGTCATTTTAACAGAACGTCAACGGTTGTTGTAGATGTATCTGTTTTAAAAAAGTAAAGTGTTCTCGAATAGTGGAATTTAAATATTTTAAATAGTTTTTTTTCTTTATTCTTTGTATTTTTTTTTGGCTTCCGACGACGGAAAGAGATAAACTTTCCGAAACGTTAAGAATTTTTTTCTTTGTTAGGCAAATTTGTATAACTGTAAACATAACTTCTGACAAGCAGTGTCCGTTTAGGTTTAACGCAGAAGTGTTTACAAAAAATAATTGTTTTATTTTGTAGATTTTCTTGCAGTGCAGTGGCGAAATACCCATAAAGGATTTTTTTTGGAGAGATGAATCCGCCACATAGGTATATACATTTTTTAAATAATTCATAATAATCAAAGTTTTATATATAACCAATCTTTATATAATTTCTTTTTACTGATTCTACATGTTATTTAATAGTATACGAGACATCAAAAAGTCGTTTATCGCGTTAACTACCAGAACAATCATGAGAAAGAAACTTTAATTGACTATAATTAGATTTATTTTCTTCGGATTGTGACCTGAGTGAGGACTTTTTTAAATGGTATAGCTCGTTTTGACCTTTCTTATTATTTTATTAAAATAACAGCAATGCCATACAAATCAAGTTTAATGATCTGACGATGACAAGACTATTATTTTTCACTGCCGTATATAATATGTATAAGTGAATTATATATTTTGCTATTTATTTTAATGGAATTTGAAGGAAACCTGATATACTCATATAAACCTTTTACGGAAAGCTAAGTCACCCTATATTTTTCTGTTATTTTTGGATAGTATCTGTCGAAATCGTCCCTTCTTAAAAGATCTTAAATTATCTATACAGGGTGATCCGACTTGCAACTTCGGCAACATATTCTGCAGATAAAAACAAGGTAAAAAGTTCGTATAAAGTTATGTCCTAAAATGCTTTGTTTCAGAGACATTATAGGCCAGTGCAAATAATTTTGAATTTGCAAAAATTTTTAGAAAGCTGCGACCATTGAAAATAGTTAGCCTTAGTAACCCTTATTAACATACTAAAAGTCCCCATTTGTCCGATGTGTGCGTCATCAAAAAAAATCGGCCGCCATCTTGAATTTTGGTACTTTTTGGGAAAAAATATAAATAACTCGAAAACGGTGCGTTATAGCGAAAAACTCAAGAGGTAAAAATTAAAGAGAATAAAAAACTCTATCAGAATCAATAAAGAATAGTTTATTATCCTAACGCAGTGACGTACAATTTTTTTTTTGAAAATCGAGCAATTTTTAAAAGGAATCACCGAAATGCAAATTACTATTTTTCTAAGCTTATTAACAAATAACATGGATATTTAGCATCAATTTAACTGAAATACAGTCCTTGTGACATTTTCAAGAAATATTTATTGGTGGTTTAAAAATATTTCAAAATTAACAAAAATTGTCAAAGCTATCCTTTACTCAATACATGTGTGCTAATAATGTGCGAAAGCAGCCTCCACCTTGTTCCGGTCGGGGCTATTTGCACTTAAACCAAGGTTTTTTTGTTACCATTTTGTGAACAACTCGTTTTTGAAAATACAGTGACAGTTTGAAAAATTAGGCTACAGTTGGAAGAAAAAAATAAAATGTAATAACTACTTGCGAATGTCTTTTTGACATAAATATCATCCACGATCTTAACCTAAGATCTTAACACTTTTTCATTATGATAAATACATTATAAACATACCCCTACAAATCGAATAACAATAATTCAAATTATGACCATTTTAATAAAAATGTGTTAACTTGTACCTAACTTTTCAAACTGTCATATCTAGAAAAAAAATGAAATTTACAATTTTATTCGATTTGTTTTTCATCGCCAGATATTTGTTTGTTCTCGCAAGAACTACTATTACAGTTACCACACAAGCATGAACATGGCATATTGGATTTTAAACATGTACCATTGCGATTAAAAGAAAATAGTACAACAAAATATGATTTAATCTGCTGGTCTATATTCTTGTGTCAGTGTCACGTAATTTTTAAAAAGTGCCTTTAACTTCAGAGCAAAAATCGATTATATTTACGCGATTAAGGGATGGGGTTCCCATAAGGGACATTGCAGATGCATTAACGATAAACAAAAAAACAGTGTTGTTGGCTAAATCCAAAATTCAATATAATTCAAATATCCTTATAGACCAGGAGTTCCATCTGGGACTACTAATTCTTGTACTATTTTTTTTATCGCAATGGTACATAGTTTATTACATCCATATTTGCAATTACAGTAAATCATTTTCAATAGAAATTCTGATGCCACTGCGTTTGACATTGTTGTTGGAACTAAGGTATCCGTTTTTTTACTCCATCCACATTCTGTTGCCTCTTCTCCGTTATTTCGCCAATACTGCATTTATAAATAGGTCCTATAATAATGATTTTCAGCTGCGTTAGTTGTTGGAGGTAAGGTAGCTAAATCAAAATTTTTACTGTAAGTACCTGACGAGATGTAAGGGCTTTATATTTAAAATACCTCAACTGATCTAAATCTTTTGCTAGCCTATGAAAATAAGAATGTATTTCCAGCTTCGACTAGCTCAGATTTTTGTGCTGCAGGATCTAAAAAAAACGGATGTGATTTGTCGCAGATGAGGATCTTTTTGCAACGTTTTGAAAGTCGCCAGTTTACATTACGTTTTATTTTTTTCTTCCAAACCTGTAGTCTAATTTTCACACTGTCACTGTATTTTTAAAAACAAGTTGTTTACAAAATGGTAACAATAAGACCTTGGTTTAAGTGCAAATAGTCCCGACCGGGACAAGGTGGAGACTGCTTTCGCACATTATTAGTACACATGTATTTAGTAAAGGCTAACTTTTACAATTTTTGTTAATTTTGAAATATTATTAACCCACCAATAAAAAATATTTCTTGAAAATGTCACAAGGATTGTATTTCAGTTGAATTGATGCTAAATATCCATGTTATTTGTTAATAAGCTTAAAAAATTAGTACATTGTATTTCGGTGATTCCTTTTAAAAATTGCTCGATTTTCAAAATTTTTTGTACGTCATTACGTTAGGATAATAAACTATTTTTATTGATTCTAACAGAGTTTTTTATTCTCTTTAATTTTTACCTCTTGGAGTTTTTCGCTATAACAAACCGTTTTCGAGTTATTTACATTATTTCCTAAAAAGTACCAAAATTCAAGATGGCGGCCGATTTTTTTTGATGACGCACACATCGGACAAACGGGGACTTTTAGTATGTTAATAAGGGTTACTAAGGCTAACTATTTTCAATGGTCGCAGCTTTCTAAAAATTTTTGCAATTTCAACATGGTGAATGTCATAACTGCACTGGGGTATTATACAAGATGTAAAAGTTTCATTTTTATACAGGGTGTTTCAAAAACCATGTGCTATCTCTCGTGGGGAGATTCCTCATGTAAAAATAAGATTTATTTTACAAATCAACATGGGTCTGATTCTGCTTTGTTTCTACAGCAGGTTAAAGTCTTCATTTTTTTTTCCATTTATTATAATTTTCTTCCGATTCTTTTAGCGATTCGAATGAAATTTGGAGGGTAAAAGTTACTATATGTGCTACATATTTAATGCTAAAAAATGTCGACAGATTCACCAGGGACATGCACCTGGGTTATCACTAGAACATTTTTCTAAAAAAATATATGCGCCACTGGCTTTTTTCCTCTTTTTAGCAAAAGCGTGCGATTGGGTGATCATTTAATGCCGATGGAAAGTTGTACCCTGATATTTTCAGGCACATTTCGATCTCCTCGATGAGATAAAGGCAATTTTATTAATGACAATTAATAAACTAAAATTAAAAAATTATTTATTCAATGTAATTTATTACTAAATTTTATAAAAATTTATACCATTGACGTACAAATTCCCCTAAAAAATATGGTATTTAAGACAATTAGAAAAGGCATATTTGTTAAAAGTGTTATCATC